ATTTATGCCTTCAGAAAGTCATTATCCTAAGGAAGCTTGCTGTCATTTCCTTCAGCCCGTGCTCTTGTGAAAATCCTTTTTGTACAAAACTTCACGATTAATTTCAGGACCCCCCTCTAACCACCCCCCCCTCTTTAATTAAATATCGCTGTTAGTTAAAGATTTAACTATATAGAGTATTTTATTAGCACGACACTTTAGGGTGTATGTAATTTCCAATCCGTAAACTGTGTAATCGTACACATGAAGAAAAACCTGTAAGCGTTTTTGTTTCCTTAAATTTCTCTAAGGTTCATAAAATACTATTTTCCGTAAATGAATAGCTTTAAAGATCACGAGTATTTAACATTGGGTGCCAGTAGCGGCCATGTATATTACTATGGTCGAGAGAAACATCAATAAAGATAGGTTTTTCCCTATTTGCATAAACATTAATAATTCTAGTCTGAACCACAGCAGTGTAAATGCTAAATAAATAATCGTGTCATTTAAATGTATACCTTGCGTAAAATTGCAATAATTCATCGTTCATATAATTTGATTAACTTCAGCATTTTGCAGAGTATGAACATTTTATATTAAATGCTTCATGTAATACAAAGTACACAGTGAGGAGAATAATAATCATAATAAATAATTTAAGCGCGTGTTTTAGCATTCAACTGACGATCATTGTTATGCGTAAAGTACTGGGGGTCACGGAGTGCGTTTAAATCTCTGGGTGTGTGCCTCTGCTCCACTTGTACTGGTCGTGTTGGCACGTGAGCAGCATTACCACAGACCTGGCTTTCCTATGGATGCCACATGACAATTCTTTTCAGCAAATCCCAGACTAATGTGACTCTCATGAACTTGGAGTGAAAGGGGCAATTGGTACTAAATGGTACAAACGCTCTCATGCCAGGAATGTTTTAATTCAACTAAGGCACCTAATTGCCAAATTGATGAAAATGTAACAACGAAAATCCCTCCAATTAGCTGCAGTGTGGGAAATTTGTAAATTGAATGGATTTTGTTATTAAGTGAGGTTTTTTTTTAATTAGCTCATTTAAAATTGATACTTGGAGCATGTTGCATTATTACCCATTACATTACAACCAGCACTAATTTGTATCAATAACACCAACAAGCCTAAATACATGCCAACAAAACCCCCAAAAAACTCTATTATGGATGATATTGGTCGTGAAAGCGTGTGTTCAACTGAGTATAAGGAGGTACTCTGTGATGTGTGGAGATGAAGCCCGACAATGAATTTCTTCTTGACCCAAAATTAATGAAGGCTGATTTTCTGGATCGTTCTACTCTTGTGTAATTACGATTCATAGTTCACAAGTCTGCATCAGACAAATGAGATATGTGTAATACAAGGCTTTAGATTTACCGATGAGGTTTATCGCAATTTGTATAAAAATCAGATTAGGGATAATCAAGATTTAATCTGCACGTCAGCAATATTAGTGGTCGGAATTAATTCATATTACTTCGAATAACTGCTCAGTTCTGTTCTGCTTGGAATCTCCTGAAGGTTCCACGCTTAATTCTGAAGTATTAACATTGCATACGATGATGAAATATTAGCATTGCACAAAATTTATTTTAATTTGGTGCAAGTTTAATATTTCCTACATCGTATGTTCTCTCTCTTGCATCATTACACAGTAATATGTACCGTCTCCTGCAACGGTATCAATCATTTAAACAGGAGTGTTCTGTTTTGCAAAGGCATTACGCAGGAATGCACATATGTATGGAGATACAATATGAATTTCATAACAGGGTTATCATTTGTACCACGGAGTTATTCAACTGAACGCCAGCAGAAAGTGCAAGGGAACTACAATATAGCATCAACAAGTCAACAACTTATGATTATCAGGGCTAGACTCAGTCAGCCGGGTGGTTCGATAGTAACGTTTGTGCGTTACAGCAAGAAGGGCTTGGATTCTATCCCCCACTTGTGCGCCTTCGACGTGGAGTTTGTAGGTTCTCCCCCTCTTCTGCACGGGTATCCTCTCTGTTCTCCGGTTTCCTACCATATCTGAAAGAAAAACGAGCAAAGATACATTGCACGTGGAATTGGCCAAACCTCCCAATGTTCAAAAGTTACCATAAAATCACTCAACTGGGATTATACACACAGCAGCAGCAGCCCCATTGTGAAGTATTGTCAGGACTCTGCTCAAAAAGTCTTACTCGTTGAAGCTTTCCTGGGTAAACAAGCGTAATAACAATAAGTAGTTGTTAGAGTATGTGGCTGCTATACATGTCCACGTGATAAGAAGCCACATTGCTGAGCTATCGTTTGTGATTGCCAGATCGCTTCTGAAAAAGAGCTACATAGCTCAGTGGGCCTTACCTGGTAAAATAAAAAATAGTTGATAGTTATTTTATTTTTTATAATACACTGGTATCTTGTAAGTTGCTTGAAAATAACCATGATACCACTGACAATTGAGACACCTCCAACACTCCTAAAACATTCTGCAAGTCAAAGTGTAAGTGTTATTATCACGTGTATTTAAAAGTTGAGAAAAACTCACCATGCCGTGTTTATTACGTCCAATTATGTTCAAATTGCACATTCGGAATAAAACACAACGCGCGTGCCGGGTAAACGCTTGCAGCCGCCGAGCCATTGGCAAGCAGGGTCGGTGCGGGCTTCATTTCACCGCAGCCGCCACGCCATCGAAGTCGTGCGCACGGGGATAATGAGCGGTCCACACACGCGCTCTCTGCTCTCTCTGCTCCTGCTGCTGCTGCTGCGCTCGTGAAACACCCTGCGACGTCAACGATGGCAAAACGTAAACCGTTACGCGTCGGTTGTCCTCGTCCAAATGACTAATTTTGACGATCGCAGACCATATGAATTGCGGCAAATAAATGCATTTACCACATGACTACAGTTTCCCATGTCCCATTCAAAACAAAACTAGATATATTTTTTTAAAAATGCACAGCATTGGGCATCTATCTGGTGACTTAAAAATGAATAAATAAACCCAATAAAGCTTACACGAACTCGACATTTACAGTGCCCTATTTTGCTACGCATCACACAAAACCAACCTGCGTGTTGATTTTAGCAAACCTTAACGCTCTCGTCTAGTTTTAACAAGTATCTCAGAACAAAGCTTACTAGAGTCGTACAATCGGCATTATAAAGAACCTCAGAGTTCAGCGCTGACCCCCACTTGAATTATCACCGGACTGGCTTTTCACCAAGTCATCCGTTATGAAAGCATTGCAATGATATGTCGGGATTTCGCCAGGTGAATGAAACGAGGCAAAGACACGCGCGAGGGCTTGGTGGGATACGAGTCTCATCAACCTCACCCTGCACGTGTCCACCGGGGAACTGGCACCACACACCGAGTGTCACGTTTAGCCCAAACTACCCACACATTACTCGGTTGGAATTGTACACAGCAGCAGCAGCAACAATCATCGCCCGTAGCGGCAGACTCAAGCCCCGCGTTGTCATCCTGGTCTCTTTAGTTCTCTCCGGGTTAAACAGCTGTTCACGACGATCTCGACTGCGATTGTTTTGAACATTTTTGTTGTTCTGTATTGTTTAATATAAATATTTGTTTTTATTTTCCCAAACACGATATTCACGTAAGTAACATTCAAACGTGCAGTTTAAATTGCCATCTATAGCCATAATATAGGTTTTTGGATTAGATCGCGTAAATTTGTGTCGTTAAAACCCGCCACCACCCAACACAGCCAACTAGTAAGGGTTGTCACGTGTACAGAACGTGCCGATTCGTCACTAGTATAGCACACCGGTGTGTTGGAGAGCAAAGCCACAACATTTACAATCTGAGTACGTTGATATTGGTCGCGAAAGCCTACCTGTTAAACTGCCATCTCTATGTTTTATTGAAATACCGGATCATGATAGCTTTTTGAACACCCCGTATATTATCTGATGTCCAAACTGGTTTGACTGCTACGGGCACAGTTTTCAGTCGACATGTGCAAGGTGGCCCAGGCCCTGGCCCTACCAGTGCGTGGACACGTGTCTGGATGGGGGGTCGGGGGGCCTGAAATCCTTCGGAAGCCTCTTCCTGAAATGTTGGTAAATAATTGACTACGTGCGTGCTCCCCGTCTCCTAAGGTAGAGACACTGTAAACAACTGGGACAATTAAAGGCGCAATAAAACAACTGGCAAAGAAACAAGTCTGGAATGCCGTTTTTGTTCCTCTGCCCCCCCGTCCCCCCCTGCTTTGATGCCCTGCGTTATAAACGGGGAATTGGCATTCGGAAAATCTCTCCAGCTTCGAGCCGTGTTGTATTTGTAGCAATAATATCAGAGCCAATAACAAATACGTGCTACACTCCCGGTACAAAGCGAATGCCAAATTCTTCAGGACTTAAAAGGTCACGACCCCCGCCCCCCGCCCGCCTCCCGTTCTTCACCGGACATGATGGATTCTCCTTTAACTCGCCATGTAACTATTTGTCTCTGACGAATGTGTCTGGTTCCCAGCTGCGAGCAGACATGTAAATCACTCCGGTCTGACAGGACTTCGTGGGCGATAGCATCTTCTGGGTCCGGGCCGGGATGCGCCTCAGACGGAATTCTCTCACAACACAAAAGGAATTGCCCCAGTAAAGTGATTTTTGGGTTTTGCGCCCGCGAGCCCGAAAGGGCATTTCCAATTGCAGCGATTCAGCAGCAGAGCATCGGCGGGCAACTGCCGCTAAGTATCACCGCATTTGACCCTGTGCGAGATGCTTCAGTGCAATTGACGAATGGATAATCGGGAGCATTAGCACTCTCTTTCCATCGCAGTCGAGTTATCAGAGGGGGGGAAAAAAAGAGAGTCAGACCAGCCAGATGAAATAAACTTGACTGCCCTTAAGTTAAGGTATCATCTGCACCGTAATATTGTTCAGACTGTAAAGTTTGAATGTTGTACATGCTGGCTCGGGTTTTCAAAAGACAAATCCCAATGTAATTTACCGAGGATCATATTGTGCATATGCCTTCTTGAAATGCTATTGCACTAAAATTACTTCTTTAAATGCTATTATGCTCACAACTATATTACAGCAGTTTGCTTGTTTGAATTTCATAATTCACATGATACGTCGTCTTTTCTCAATCAGTTGTCAGTAAAGCATTGGCAATGTGATGAGACAAGCATCAAAATCCCAACTTTAAATACAACCATCACTGTTAAACAACAACACCAACAAAACATACGACTCACCAACAGCGTGGCCAATGTAATAACTCATAATTGCCCAATTCACCGGCCCGTCAATTTAGAATTCAGAGCTTGCACTCTGAATTTAATAGTTTTTGCGACTTTAAATCACTTCTCGAAAAATGATCCAGCACTGACAGGGGGTGACGCTGTGGATTTGCTCCTTGTCGGAGCTCAACCCACAGCATTGTCTGAGCGATGCCTAATCCTCCATTGTCGGCCACTTGGAAGCGACTGCCAGGGAATTAACCTCTCCTTCGGCCCCGTTGAGACAGATATCTGAGAAACAAATGTGGAGGCGGGCACGCGCTCAGAATCCACGCTCAAGACACCAGTGGAGCAGAGGTCAAGATAGCGGGGGGGTGGCAAAGAGGCATTTTCTCCCCCCAAGGATATAAAGTCGTGGGCGCGGAGTGGCAAGCTGCTCACTTTCACAAAGCTGGTGGGCGAGGGAGCAGCAGCAGTAGCAGCCACTGTGTTACGCGGGTCGGTGGGGGGGCCCTCTGGTGAATTGGCTGCGTGGTGTCTGGCACCGCGATGGCGACGCAAGCCGGAGGAGCGAGCAGGACCTCCCTTCTGCTCTTGGCCCTGGCATTCGTGCCACGTCAAGGTTCCGGGGCCACCCTGCCTCCTCCCGATAAGCCACGCTACCACGCCGGGGTGTGCCCCAACGACCTCAACCCTAACCTGTGGGTGGACGCCCAGAGCACCTGCGAAAAGGAGTGTGGCGGTGACCAGGTATTTGCAGACGTCTCACCGTGCTTCCCGGCAATTACGTTGAAGGCGTGCTTGACACCACGCAGCAAAATGTTTGCATTGGCATTTCTTAACTTAACTCCTTAAAAAAAGTTTTTTTTTTAAACAACGGTTTTATTAACAACTTCGTTTAACTCACGGTCGAGAAGTACGTCAATGGCGCCTGAGACACGCGGTGCCTGATGTTTGTGCGAGCCGATTCCACAGTTTAGGGACCGCAGCGTTTTTGAGCTACACAAAAATATAGAATTCATAAGCCGTCCATAATTTTTTTTTTAATTCCTTGAAAGGAGGCAATTAATTGATGATTTGATGCCGATTTTCATACAGGCATGCATTGTCACCGGATCTGAATACGTGTGCAGAATTTGGAATTGATTGGACAGGAAGTAAACCAAATTCCGATTACAAGATTTGACCACGACAAAGACAAGTGAAGTTAAATAAAACCGTTGAACAAATAATAATAACTTGTGTGCATCTACATTAAAGGGTTTTTTCTCTTCTTTCCCCGAGCTAACAGGTCATGAATAATCCATGTGATTCGTATATTTTTTTGTACCATAATTAGAAAAGTTAATTACACGAGTGTTTGAATAAAGTTAAATTGGGATGCTTTTACCATGTCATACGGATGTGCAACCCAGCCGTGCAATAACAACCTTCATCTGTCACCATATAAACCAATGGTTCTTCACCTGGGGTGCACGCACCCTCTGAGGGTGGAAGATGCCCTTTCTGTGGGTGTGAGACATGGCCAGATTTGTTTAGAAGCTAAATCATCGAAACACAAATTAAGCATGGAGCAAGTAAGCACAACTACTTTGTGTCATCAAACCTCTGTATTTATTAACATGATAAATTGTCTAAAAATTTAGAACCAAAGGGGTGCAAGACCGCAGTAAAAGGCCAAGAACCACTGATCTAAACGCACCGCAGCATATACCATCGTTTCAAAATGTCCATCGTGTATTTCAATTCCTGTCAATTTTTGTTTCCACTTGGAGGACTGCACCGCCTTCGAGAAGTGCTGCCTCAACGTGTGCGGCTCCAAGAGCTGCGTGGCCGCCCGCTTCGCCGACACCAAGAAGCGCACGGCCGGCTCGTCGGGCGGCCGCGACGCCGTCGGGGCCAAGGCCGCCAGCTGCGCCGGCTTCCCGTGCCAGCAGCAGGGCGCCAAGTGCGAGCTGTGGGACGGCAAGCCGGCCTGCCGCTGCCGCGACCGCTGCGAGAAGGAGCCCAACTTCACCTGCGCCTCCGACGGCCTCATCTACTACAACCGCTGCTACATGGACGCCGAGGCGTGCGTCAAGGGCGTCGCGCTGGGGGTGGTCACCTGCAAGTACCACGTGGCGCCGCCGCATCCCAGCGAGCCGCCGTCCGAGACCACCGCGCCGCCCACCGTGCGCTACCCGCCGCTCGCGCCGCCCGGCGACGCCGTGCCGCCGGCCCTGCTGTCGAACCCCTACCCGCAGGAGGTCGCCCTGGGCGGCACCGTCAGCTTCCGGTGCGACGTCGGCGGGCGGCCGCAGCCCGACGTCACCTGGGAGAAGCGGAGCGACGGGCGCGACAACCTCATTATGCGCCCCGACCAGATGTACGGGAACGTGGTGGTGACCAACATCGGGCAGCTGGTCATCTACAGCGCCGAGGAGCACGACGCCGGCATCTACACGTGCACGGCGAGCAACGCGGCGGGCCTCCTGCGCGCCAACTTCCCCTTGTCGGTCGTGACGCACGATCGGCCCAGGCAGCCGCCCCCCGGGGGAGCCGTCGCGGAGTTCCCGGCGAGCGAATGCCACGAGCCGCCCGACACGACGCACTGCGGGTCGGCCCGCACCAAGTGGTACTACGACAGCGGCCTGAACGCGTGCGACACGTTCGTGTACGGCGGCTGCGACAACAACAGGAATCGTTTCGACACCTACGAAGGCTGCAAACGGTGGTGCCAGAACCAGTCGGTCAACATCTGCCACTTGCCGCCCGTGCAGGGCCCGTGCCGGGACTGGGAGCGCCACTGGGCCTACAACCCCCTCATCAAGCAGTGCCAGTTGCTCGTCTACGGTGGCTGCGAGGGAAACGAAAACAACTTCGAGAGCCGGGAGGCCTGCGAAGACAACTGCCCCTTCCCGACCAAGGCGGCGCTGTGCAAGAGCTGCAAGCCGAGGCAGAAGATCGTGCCCAGCTTCTGCAAGAGCGACTTCGCCATCGTGGGCAGAATGACCGAGCTGGTCGAGGAGCCGGACTCGGGCTACGCCCGATTCACCGTGGACGAGGTGCTCAAGGACGACAAAATGGGCCTGAAGCTCTTCAACACCAAGCACATGGAGGTGACCCTGGCCAACGTGGACTGGAGCTGCCCGTGCCCCAACATGACGGCGTCCGACGGCGCCCTGCTCGTCATGGGCGAGGTGCAAGACGGCATGGCCGTGCTGCACCCCCACAGCTTCGTGAGGACGGCGAGCGACAGGCGCGTCCGCAAGGTGTTCGAGACCATCGAGAAGAAGACGTGCGACCTGATGAGGCGGTTCCATGACTAAGAGACGCACGCGCGTCATATCTCGCCTGGCTTTTATGCGCAACGCCTGATAAATCGCTTCCGTAATGGCTTTAGGTGTCCGAGCGGAGATGCTCTTAGCGATGCATATAAAGTATACGTAAACTAAATAGACGAACGATTTTTGTCGTGTTGCTTTGCCTGGTGAAAGTTACAAATTCATGTGGCATGACAGCCGTTTGATTGAATTGCCACAACAGTCCACCGTGGCATTTCTTTTTCATTAACAACTGCCAGCAAACACGTAATTTATTGATAGTGTTTGCAACGTAAAATGTGCAACGCTTGCACCGGAGGTTTTTTTGTGTGTGCGTGTCGGTGTTAGCGCTGCGTAACCGATGTGCACGCATTGTGTTGTTGTCGCTTTGTTCCGTCGGTGTGCGCACGTCTGTCCGTGCAGTGCACGACATGCCGATCGCAGCCCTGGTACAGGAAAGCAATCTTTTATATGGGGATGATTAAAGACGCCGCATCTGGTATTGATTCACAATAAGTGCATTGAAAAAAATGGCAAAATATTAGCAAGTGCAGCTAGCCCGTATTTGTATATTGGTATAGCAAATAAAAGCTTTGATGTTCAACGCACTGCATTCGCTTGATTGCTGTAGTATTGCGGGAACGTGTGTGTTTATGTACGTTGAACTTCTTTCACACCGTACGTAGCCAACCGTGCAAATTGGAGGTGCGGAACAACTCGTCGGGATGCACTCAACTTTCAAAAGTGCTTCATGGACACATCTGGCCCACCAAAAAATGCCAGCTGTTAGTTTACTAAAAAAAAAATGCTACATCTTCCCAAATTGAGAATATAACTGCATTAAAATACAATAAAAGGCCTGGACAATTGCTCTAAGAAAAAAAAAGAACCTGTACTATATTTTAGCAATTGCTAAAAAATTATCATGGCAATTTTTTTGTCATGGCTACTGCTACGCATGAGATTGCAGGTGCCTTGACATCCACATTACACCACGGTCTGGACTTTGTAATTCGCCGTAAAGGTGACGCCTCGTTACAGCAATTGAGTTATCGTAGTGGTCCAAGGTGTGTTCACCATCAAGGCGTGTTCACCATCAAGGTGTGTTCACCATCAAGGTGTGTTCACCATCAAGGTGTGTTCACCATCAAGGTGTTCACCATCAAGGTGTATTCACCATCAAGGTGTGTTCACCATCAAGGTGTGTTCACCATCAAGGGGTGCTCACCATCAAGGTGTGTTCACCACCAAGGTGTGCTCACCATCAAGGTGTGTTCACCACCAAGGCGTGTTCACCATCAAGGTGTGTTCACCATCAAGGTGTGTTCACCACCAAGGTGTGCTCACCATCAAGGTGTGTTCACCACCAAGGCGTGTTCACCATCAAGGTGTGTTCACCATCAAGGTGTGTTCACCATCAAGGCGTGATCACCTTCAAGGTGTGTTCACCATCAAGGTGTGCTCACCATCAAGGTGTGCTCACCATCAAGGCGTGTTCACCATCAAGGTGTGTTCACCATCAAGGTGTGTTCACCATCAAGGTGTGCTCACCATCAAGGCGTGTTCACCATCAAGGTGTGTTCACCATCAAGGTGTGCTCACCATCAAGGCGTGCTCACCATCAAGGCGTGTTCACCATCAAGGTGTGTTCACCATCAAGGCGTGTTCACCTTCAAGGTGTGTTCACCATCAAGGTGTGTTCACCATCAAGGCGTGTTCACCTTCAAGGTGTGTTCACCATCAAGGTGTGCTCACCATCAAGGTGTGTTCACCATCAAGGTGTGCTCACCATCAAGGCGTGTTCACCATCAAGGTGTGCTCACCATCAAGGCGTGCTCACCATCAAGGCGTGCTCACCATCAAGGCGTGTTCACCATCAAGGTGTGTTCACCATCAAGGTGTGCTCACCATCAAGGCGTGCTCACCATCAAGGCGTGCTCACCATCAAGGCGTGTTCACCATCAAGGTGTGCTCACCATCAAGGTGTGCTCACCATCAAGGTGTGCTCACCATCAAGGTGTGCTCACCATCAAGGTGTGTTCACCATCAAGGTGTGTTCACCATCAAGGTGTGTTCACCATCAAGGCGTGTTCACCTTCAAGGTGTGTTCACCATCAAGGTGTGCTCACCATCAAGGTGTGCTCACCATCAAGGCGTGTTCACCATCAAGGTGTGTTCACCATCAAGGCGTGTTCACCATCAAGGCGTGTTCACCATCAAGGTGTGTTCACCATCAAGGTGTGCTCACCATCAAGGCGTGTTCACCATCAAGGTGTGTTCACCATCAAGGTGTGTTCACCATCAAGGTGTGCTCACCATCAAGGCGTGTTCACCATCAAGGTGTGTTCACCATCAAGGCGTGTTCACCATCAAGGTGTGTTCACTATCAAGGTGTGCTCACCATCAAGGTGTGCTCACCATCAAGGTGTGTTCACCATCAAGGTGTGTTCACTATCAAGGTGTGTTCACCATCAAGGTGTGTTCACCATCAAGGCGTGTTCACCATCAAGGCGTGCTCACCATCAAGGTGTGCTCACCATCAAGGTGTGCTCACCATCAAGGTGTGCTCACCATCAAGGTGTGTTCACCATCAAGGTGTGTTCACCATCAAGGTGTGCTCACCATCAAGGCTGACCATCTGAGTCGCATTTGGAAAAATAACTTCGGCCTCAATGCAGAAGCTAGTGCCGCAAGCTAAGGACACACACACACGCGCCAATCATAACCGAACCGTCACACCGCACAGCGTTCGTTCCTCGCCCTCGTAGCGGGAGCACCAGCAGCAACAATTTCTCAAGCTGTGGTCCTGGTGATATATGAAGATATTTTCAGCTAATGAATGCGTTTTTACACGTTGGAGAAAACTCACACGTGCCACGGGGCGACGATCTGTCCCATGGAGAGGGAGCAGGTGAAATCCGCGGTGTTCGGCAGTACTGCCTTCTCCTGGCGTCCCACCGTATGGAGCGAAGACGCCCACGAGGGAAGGGAGTTTCACAACATCTGTGGGATCCGCAAACCCTCGCTGTATTACAGGCGTGCGCCACCGCCACCCACATAAGCAGCTAACACACGATGTTTTTTTATGTATGTAGAAAAAATAAAAAAATAAAATCATACTGGCATACCTCAGTCACCTTAATCTTGTCACTAAATAATTCAGCAGACAATACATCCCCTTCACCTATTTATTTTTACAACCATAACGCAAACCTTAAAAATAAAAATTCGTTATATATCTCATCATCTACACGGCCTTCTGGGGCGGGATGCATAATATCAGCAGCATTGGTTCTTTGTGTTGAACGTGATCTACCCAACAACGACACTGACCGATGATCTCGTGCCAATCACATTCGTACTTGATGTATGCCAGCTTATGTATAAAAAGATAGCCGAGCAGTTTGATCCACTACATCTTAGAATCGTAAATATATTATTCTCTACGGTATTTGCCCAGGGCTTATCTCACAAATTCATCAGGCGGACGGTCACACTTTCCACAAATTTGACACGTGAGTATCTTAAGTGTCTCTAAAATTATTGGATGCCCGAGTTTAATCAAAGTCAAGATTTCATCCAGAGATTTAAAAATATATTTGACATTTAATCATCAGAATGTCAGCCTCAATATGATTAGGTCAGCTAGGTCAAACCTCAAGGTCAGACTAACAGCTGACCATATAAATCCTCGGAAGAGTCAGCACATATTGATGGGTATATAGGAAAATACATTTGCACTGAAAAGCACCGGTCACGATACACGGTAAAATGCCCGTCGTGAAAAATAATGCCCTATGAACCTCGTGACATGGCTTTGATTCCTCACCATGGCTCAAATGATTGGAGAGTAACATCCGAACCAGGCCTGACCCCCCATCGTCGGCTATCCGCACTGAGCAGTGTGGTGAAGCGGTCAAATAACCTCACTCACCAATTGCCTGTGGATGCCCTCTTCGGGCAGCAGGCTGCTAAACAATGAACTTTCTCCAGGCGTTTTACTGCATGAAGCATCAACATTTGCCCCTTCATTTGATCTTTGTGGTTTTAACAACGGTGGCAATTCCTCAACCCTCCTTTTCTGAAGGGGGCTGATAAAGTTGTAGTTCAGTTGCATTGCAATTATTATTCGTAAGTTTTCTTTTTGGGTTAGATCGCATCGATATAAATGTATCGTTAGCCCACCACCACCCGACACAGCCGATTAGTGCCAAATAGTGAATAGTAACCAATTGGCACGTTCCGAACCTTATTTGGCATTTTTTGTTTACGTGGCAAACCTGAGATACTAGTAACGAATTGCCACGTATTGTTTACGTGACAATCCTTACTAGTGGGTAAACGAACTCCCCCAAAAAAAACCTTTATCACGAATAATATCAGTCGCGAAAGCCGTTTCTCCGACTGCGTGTTCAACTTGCAAGTTGATTGGCCGTGTCGGGTGGTGGAGGGTTACGACACATTTATAAATAACGCGATCTAAACCCAAAACGTTGATTATTGCAAGTGGCAGTTGGCATTTAGGTGCTCGTGCTCTGGCCAATGGGCAGGCTGCAGTGCTTGAGGGGCCACTGCCGATAAAAATTGAATCGTTGCAAGGCCAACGAGCACCCTCTTGTGGGCAGCTGCGGTGGCTCAAGTTAGTTTCGTCACCATGGCCAAGGCAAAATGTACAGTACAGGGATCTGCACATTCTACTGATTGCTGCACTCCAACGCAATATACACACACATGTATATCGATCAACACTCGTTGCACAATCGTTTTAAACAACAATTTTAGAAGGAGAAACGTGAGGTGGCTGGGTGGCTCAGAGATCTGAGCGCTGAGCTGGTAACTACTGAGGGTCTGGGTTAGAATCCAGGCAGCTGGCCTCTGGTTAAAGCTGGTCCAGTGAGCTGATCGTCTCTGCCCTGTCACCAACCAATGAATGGGCGCGCGCAAAAAAAAACCCATCGCTTAAAATATCGCTTCTGCACTTAATTTGGCTAAATTGCAACTCTGAAAATTTTAACGTTTCATCTTTTTGGTTCTTTCGGTAAAGTCACGTAGAATGGAAATAATAAAGTAACAAAATAAAACATAACAAAATAATTATTTTATTATTTCCATTCTACGTGACTTTACCGAAAGAACCAATAAGATGAATCCCTGCAGTCACGAAAGCTTTAAATCAAAATGTAAACGTTTGTTTCGTCTGCCGTGTGAAAAAAAAAGCATCGCTTTCATGCGCAGCAGCTGAGAAGTGCTGCCCTCTACTGAGTGTGGACAGAGGTCACCCGGACGGACGGCAGAGGTCGCTTCTGGGATGTCCGCTTCTGTGCGCCGTGTTCTCTAAACAGCCAACGGATTCAAAACTCAACTCCCGTGCGGTGATTGCTGATCGCAGCAGGATATCGCTACATTTTTGGGGGGTAAAAATCCGGTGATAGGCAGCAATAACCATTGAGGCGTGTGTGCTGACTGGCTTGTGTTTAAGTTTGCAGAGCCACGGAACAGCGCTGTCGGAAGCAGGTCACGCATTCACATTGAGCACCGCCAATAAT